CAGCAGCATCACTAAACTGTCAAACAGTCACATACCCTAGCCGAAGCAGATCGCATTGTCGGAATGGCCATTTCTGGCTTAGTAGCCGTCGTCAGCCAGACCCAAGTGGTGCCCGACTCGATCCTCGAACTCGCGGACTGGCTGATGACGGCTAATAAGCCAGAAATAGCCATTCCAGTCGCCCTTTTCTTTGCCGGCAATACTATCCGCTTCTACTACCAGCTATTACGGCTGTCAGGGCCTCTGGTGGGGCCCAAGGCAGAGCGGGACAAATGAGTCCCGTTAGCGGTTAGGTGAACATTTACCAACAAGTACCCTAGCATATTAGACATAGTTTCGACAGGCTTCGGTTCCGAGAAGCGTGACTTGCTGTCGAAGCTGGAGTACACCAGAGGAAAATTTGGTCTACAGTACCCAGGCCTCGACTCGCGAACTCTTTGATCAGAGTCAAACGCTCGAACCGTTAAGCCACGAGCTCGTTGTTTTGCCGGTTTAGGTTGGAAGATATTGACAGTCGTTGCTGAACGTTCACCCAACCGCTCTGACATCACTACTGAGTCATACCCAACCCCAGGTAGGACTCTTTTTCGACCTGGAAGTTCCCCCCTCTCTAACTGTGGATGATCTGGCCGCTTTCTAAATGGCTGTCTATCTTGTCAACAGAAATGATGACGAATTTGTAAACGCACCGAAAGACGAGGTCAGGAAAGCGAAGCAATGGACAGATGCCATCGTACTTTGAGGCTGTCCGAAAGAATACATCCAAATCACCTCTGATGTCAATTTGGCCTGCAAGGAAGGATACGAAGAGCATGCCAGGATAGTACACATAAAAGGTAAAAGTATTGCAGCTTAGGAAAACACATCTGATGCAAGAAAACGGCAACCGATTCGGCAGGATTAATTTTAGAGGCCCCAAACATCCCGTCGACTCATAATAAAAAATACCTTTCAATGTTCGGTAGCCTGGCTGTAAATGTTCTCCTTAAATTCCACCAATAGGAAGACGAATTTGCATTTTCGTTAAATTATGCCTATGCAAGTTCGAATCTACCCCGATTAGCATTCATATCCTGCGCAAGAGAAGTTTATGTTGATCGAATTTATTTTATTTTAGCATATTAAAAACATGATTTTTTATTAATATAATATTCTTTGATCACTTCCGCCGCAATTACATATTAATTTACACTCACTAACCAAGAAGTAAATGTTTGACCACAGAATACGTTAAGCAGTTGGGCGGGGAGATAGATATGTAGAGGGGCCCTACAAATCTATTTTGCCACCGATTCCGCCTACCTGGAAGCCACGTAACAGCCACATGTGACCACTGCCAGGTGAAGAATTCAACCGAATTGTAGGGATCCAGTGAGGTGGGATAGAGCCAGATCATACGGCCACAGGCGAAGCCCAGTCTCCCATGGTAGTTGAGACGAATGCGGTCCCACCAACCCAGCGGAGGCTTCGAGGGATCCTGGGAGCTTCGACGAATATCATCTAGCCGGAGATTCAGCCAAGCGAATGTAGGCTCCCAATTGGAACCATAGCAGACAGCAAATTCACGCATATCTGTGTACAGGTAGTAGGGAGAGGAGGGAGGAAGGGACGTGGGTGGTTGAGAGGGAGGCAGTGGAAGTAGTACCAACGATGATGTTGCTGGATAGCACATTTAAGAGCAAAGCCCAGTAATGGTGGTGGTGGCACTTACCGGCGTTGAAGTCGTAGAAGAATTTGTTTGGCGTCATATGCCGGACTACGGTGAGTGACGGCCAGGGGGCACCGGGTTCCACCAAGTGATCCTGTTGCCCTGGAGGAGAAGAAAAGAGACGCAGATTAGAACTTGGTCGGTCCCATGTGACTACAAGACAGTCACAAGGATGTGACAGATAAGAGA